GCGGCGGCGAGGTGAGCTGAGCTATGAGTTTCGGAGGGCGGTCCTCCGAAGTGGGGCACCCACTTGGCTGCGTGCCGACACGGGTGGGTCGTCCTGCATGGAGGCAGCGCGGGCCTGGACCCGAGTGGCCAGGCCTCGGAAAATACGTTGTTCCGTCCGCTCGCGAAAAGCGATGCTCCGAGGCCCTGGTATTTCAAGTCCCCCCCTCTAGAAGACAACCTCGTGTGGAGCTATTCGATTCGATCCGATTCGATGACGACGACGATGCTGATGGTGATGAGGATGAGGATGAGGATGATGAGGAGGAGGATGATGATGGTAATGATGATGCGCAGGATGATGATGCTGATGATGATGATAATGATGATGATGGTGACGATGGGGAGGGAGGAGGTGGAGGAGGTGGAGGAGAGGAAAGGAGAGGAGGAGAAGCGCGGGGCGCTGTCTCTTCAAAACGAGGACCCAACATCACAAGACGATTGGGAAATAGTCTTTTGCTTACCGGACTTGTCTGCCCCAAAGACGCCCCGAACCATTGCACCATAGCCGACGAAGCGGCCCCGAAATTTTTCTTTTGATTACCCGAAATGCCTCTGAGACAGTTCACGAGATCCCAAGGCTGGCCCAAGATTTTTGCAACGATCTAGATCCATAGCCGTTTGTGCTCAAGCCATTTTGTGCTCAACATGTCGTTTCTGACTGTATTGAATTCGAGGCATGCTAAGGGGAAAGGAAAGATTGTACACCCCAACGGTTTCATAACAGATTTAGATATGGCGGGCACTGATGGCTTCTTCAGTGTGTGCGACAGTGCTTCGGAACCTCTGGCCCCATCATGCTGTCCAGCGCCGGAGCGGTCCACATATGCGTCAGAGGGCAGCACTGCGAGCCCCGCGTCAAGCACGAGCAGCAGCAGCGCCTGGTCGCGCCTCGCGTCGTCATCTGCGCCTGAACACCTCGCTCCTGGGAGCCCGGGTTCCCTGATCCGGCGCATCCACTCGCAGCTCACCGGCCTGAGGTCCACGAAGAAGAGCCACTCCGCGGAGCCCCCGCCGACGACCCAGAGCACTGGAGCCGAGGGCGGGCTCTGCCGCGCCGCGCCGCGCCGCCCAAGGGCGGAGACGTTCCCGACCGCGAGGGCCGCCTCGCGGCGCCCCTCGCTGCGCAGCGAAGGCAGCGTGGGCTCCGCCGCGTCCGGGCGCTCCGCGCGCAGCGGCAGGACCTGCAGCAGGGCCAGCGCGCAGAGGCCCAGCGGCCAGCAGGGCAGGGCCAGCAGCAGAGGCAGCGCGCGCTGCGGCCGCGCCGAGGGCCGCTTCGCGGCGGCCGCGCGGCCCTCGCCGAGGGCGCGCGGCAGGGCGGGGCGCGGGCGCGGGCGCGCGCGCGTGCACTCCGAGCCCCACGGCGGGTCCGCGCAGGGCTCCCCGTGGGCGCTGGCGGAGGAGCAGTTCGGCGAGCTGAGCTGGGACATGGACGTGCCCCCGGACTTCCTGCAGCAGGGGCCGCCCACGCCCACCGAGCAGCAGTCCGGGCCGCGCACCCCCATGCAGGTGTACGCCGAGCTCGCCAGGAGGAGGTTCCATGCGCTGCAGCAGCGGCGCAGGGACGAGAAGGCCATGCGCCCGAAGAGGAACCACGGCTTCTGAGAAGGAGCCGTCCAGACCGCGCCGGGTCCAGAGGCTCTTCTTGTGACCACGAGACGCGGTGGGCAATACTGAGTGTACGACGATCTGGCGTGATTCTCAGATTCGCCAGGGCACAGCCTCCGCACTTCCGAGGTGAGGTTCTCTGTCTCTCTCTCTCTCTCTCCCTCTCCCTCTCCCTCTCTCTCTCTCTCTCTCTCTCTCTATCTTTCTCGCCATATGTTCAGAAGGTCGGTCCACTCTGCGGCACACTAGAGGCAGCTCAGTGGAGCACCTCCTGCCATGACGCATGATCTCCATACGTGCGATCACCTGATTGCCAGCTGCATGTTGCATGGCCGGTTGAGCAGATCAAGTATCGCACGTGCCAGGGTCATGTCAAAATCATCATATTGCAACAGATCAAGTATCGCACGTGTCAGGCTCACGTTTGCAGCATCAGGCTGCGCCAGTCGACGGTCGCATGTCGCGAGGGCCTTGTGCTTTGCCACGGGCCATACATGCGACACTGTACGAATCCGAATTCGCTTGCAGTGAGCTCATTGCGTGTGCTGAGTGCCTTTTGAAGAGCATGTGGTGGCCTCACTTCACAGTTTGACGTTTCTCTGCTGTGCACGCTTCTCCCAGACGCTGGCTGACAGCGCACACTGAACACGGAGCTGCCAGGAGGCACAGAGGAGCCATCTGCACGCGCGTCCATACGCGAAGTTTAATATTGTCATCAGTTGCTCTCTTGCGCACTGGTCGTGTTCGGCCAACATTTTCAGGAGCATCCGCGAGGCGCCGCCCCCAACGCGCGCTCTGCTTCCTTTTGGGGGGGGCGCCGCGGCGTTTGCTCGTTGCGCAGCAGGAGAGCAACTCAGCCTTGCGCTCTGCCGTGCGTTTCCTTACGCCGCGTGTCTTTCCTTATCAGCTGGTCTCTTGCTCACTGGTCGCGTTTGGCCAACATTTTCAGGAGCATCCGCGCGGCGCCGCCCCCAATGTGCGCTCTGGTTCTTTTTTGGAGGTCGCTGCGGCGCTTGCTCGCTGCGCTGCAGGAGAGCAACTCAGCCTTGCGCTCTGCTAGTTCACCAGCTAGGAAAGACGTGGGAGGTTTCGCAAATGATGAGCAGACAGTACGAAGGGAACGCGCACGCGCTCAAGTTACAGATGCCCTTGTGGCTGACACGCTGATCTGTGGTGATCATATACATGGTGGGCCAGGCGTCTCTACTCCCTCCCAGAGTGGTCGCGCAGATGGGAACAGTCAAGAAGTGTTACAGTATCCGGCCGCTCTTCTGACTGTATTGGCCCTACGTCTGATGGCCAGCGTCACTGGAAGGAACGGCGTTTCCATTCTAGTCCAGATAGTGAGTCTTTCAGGAGGAGATTGGGAAGCATATGATATGTTACCTTTCTGTGTCGTTCCCTCTTTACCGATTGGTACGGAGGATCATGGGCGGCCTTACCCAAATGCGATTGGCAACAGACTTGGCGAGCAGGTGATTTCGCCAGCACAACACCTCTCGATCGCGCCATCACGCCTAGAAGCAAGCATGGCATTGTTCCCCAATCAGTGCTTGCACTGAAGGGGTCCTCGCGGAAGTTGAAGGATTTGGCGAAAGTTTCCCGCCGATTTTGGTCGCACGCTTGATTCCTGGGTTCCCGGTTCCAGGTTCCCGGGTTCCCTTTTCCAGGTTCCGGGCCGATTTCGGAGGGCGGCGAGGTTCCCGGGTTCCCGGGTTCTTGGTCTTATCGATCGGTCTCACAATCGATCTCATTACCCACTTCTCTATCGATCTCACCATCGATCTCACAATCGATTTCACTATCAATCTCACGAGCGATCTCACTAGAGATCGCATGAGCGATCTCGCGATCGATCTCACTATGGTCTCACGATCGACCTTACAATCGTCCTCACGATCGATTACACTATCGATCTCATTATCGATCTCACAATCGATCTCAAGATCCATTGTACTAATTCTCAAATCATAAACTGATTGGGTTTTCTCAGGTGTAGTTTAGTCATGATGCAGAGGGTAGTTTGCTCCAACGCTTCAGAAGGATGGCGGAGAACAGGAGACGAAGGAGATGACTGCATCGGGATAGTGCAGCCAGCGGCTTGGTTTCCGACATGTGCCCGACAATTGCTAAGGAGGCTAGCGTTGGGCGGGCGGGGGGACTGACGGCTCTTGGCCCCCGCGCGGTTCGCTATCAGACACGGGCGACACTGAGCCAAGCCCGTCGTTACACCCTCTGGATTAGTCGCCTTGACGGGGCGCCATCCAGACGTCCTCCCGTCGATTGAATTATCAGCAGTGGCCGCCGCCGCTGGGCTCTCGAAGAGCAAGGGCTGGAGCAGAAGCAGGGCACGAATAGATCAGAGAGCGCTTCTTGGTTGTGTTGGGTACTTGTTGGCCTTGGCTCACGGTAATCCGCTTCCTCCTTGTCCGCCATGGTTATTATGGTCTAGGGCTTTTGGCACGCGTGGGAGTGCGTCGACTCTGGCGGCGCAGCCCCGTCCATCGTTCATGAGTCGGGGTCGTTCCAGGATTGCTGTTTGACTCTTTATATCATGCACACCCGTGATCCTTCTCCCTCCTCTTTGTCCCCTTGCTTCTCCTCCTCCTTCCACCAGGCGCCATCTTGTGACCGCCTTGGGAGCCCTCTTGGGATCCTCTGGCGGCCTGACTGCGACTCTGGCAGGTTCCTAACCCAGAACGAAATCGTTCCGTGCGGTTTGGGCCACAGCCCCAGGCCATTCGCACCAGCGGGCCACCGTGCCCTACAGGGCGGTGGCTCCAGGAAATTGGGCCCACCTACGGAGTTGTTAAGACGCCCCGAAGCCATATAATCTGAAGGCTGCCCTCCACCAGGCCATTTTCCTGACGGCCCCGTCAGGCCAACCCGAGTCTTATGTCTTCATGTCTGCCCGATCTTTATCTCATATGCACCCGTGGTCCCCCTCCCCTCTCCTCGTCCCCTCAGATGAGACTTTGCAAAAGAACATGCAGCACCGCAAAAATCACCACCAGAGCCCTGGAGCCCATCTTTCTGCTGCATTTTTCGAGCCAGATCGAGCTGCGAGGGCCCCCGGGGCCGAAACCGGGCGACAAAAACGCCCGTGGTGAAAAAGTTGCAGCGCCCAGATCTGAGGGCTCTTCCTCGTCACCCATTGCTCCCCCCTCCCTCCACTAGTCTCAGGGCATACCAGACGTACCCCAGAACAGACGTACCCTGGGGAGGGGGCCTCAGGGCTCACCTCGGGGCGCCCAACAGCTGCGTTTTGGTACCCACCGTGGCTGGAACCGTGGCCGCTGCGACACCTCACTGGGGGTACGTCGTCCTGGAGGTACGTTTGGCCCTTCCCAACAGGCCATCAGCCCGTACATGTGGGCGTACATGGGCATCGCCGTCGCCCTGGGCGTCTCCGTGCTGGGGGCGGCGTGGGGGCCTCTGGGGGAGGAGGACGGTGAGGACGAGGAGGACGAGGAGGAGGAGGAGGAGGAGGAGGAGGAGGAGGAGGAGGACGAGGAAGAGGAGGAGGAGGAGGAGGAGGAGGAGGAGGAGGAAGAGGAGAAGGGAGGCAGGGAGGGAGGGAGGGAGGCGGCAGCAGGGCGGCAGCAGGGCGGAAGGGGCGGCAGCCGGGCGTCGGGGCGCCAGGGCGGCCGGGGCCGGGGCGCGCGATGGCCCTGCAGTGAGGAGAGGATACCCCCATATCCTCCCCCGGCGTGCGGGGTCGGTGGCGCGCGGCCGCGGCTGGCTGCTCTGCGCTGCTCTCGGCGGCGGTGGCCCTCCGCCGCAGGCTGCCCGGCGCGGCGGGCGGGCGTGGCGGCGCCGGGGGTGCGCTGTCGACTCTGGCGGCCGCATGGCACATGCCCGGGCCAGAACGAGGAGCGGCCGGCCCCCGGACGATGGCTGGAACGTCACGGTCCAAGGGAACTCGCACCGCGTGATGTGTGGCCTGTGCGAGCAACGGATCGCGATCGGCGACGTGCGGGTGCAGCCCGCGCGGAACTCGCGCGCGCGCCTCCTCCACATTTCCCTGCAGGCCGGCGTAGTGCGGGTGGGCGAGATTGCGGCGGGTCGCGGAGCTGGCCCCAGACTTGCAAGCGCAGTTGCGTGAGGTGCTCGGGGTGCCGGAGACGGGGCAGCCGGTTCAGGAGCGGGACGCAATGAACGTGGATGGCGACACAATGGCCAACCTGACCGCGTTGCGCGGCGCCGCGTATTTTGACGCGGTCCCGTGGGCGGAACTCCTGGTCCCCGTAACGATCTTGTCGGAGATCCCCCGCCCCATGCTCCACGCGCTCGCGTCCGTGAAAGCTAACCTCATCAACGACGACCGACCTCGGCGACGCGGCGCGCCTGGAGAGGGCCTGGAAGGCACTCTTCGTTGTGGACGGGTACGTGCTGCGGAAGCCGGAGCTCAAGGACCACGGAAAGAAGCAGGCCCGAGCTCTCCGGCAGTTCCGGCCCGTTCGGGAGCGCGGGTATCTCTTCACGACGAGTGGCTCCGCCGCCCCGTGCCGGAAGGGGGAGGCGCGCCCAGCGCAGACGAGAACCTCGAACAAACGGCCGCCCGAGTGCGACAGCTCCTGGAGGCGGGAGAACTGCAGCGGGCGTCGGCGAGGGTTTTGGACGCAGCCCCACTGGCACGCGGGCAGGACCTGCCTGGGCGGGTTCAGGTGCTGTTCCCGACCGAAGGCTTCGGAGCGCTCCCCATGCCAGCCCCGACTGCCCTCCCCGCGCACCACCTGGAGGCGCGAGTTAAAACGAGCGTTGGCCAAGGCGCTCGCCCATACGTCTCGGCGCGTGGCCGCATGCCGCGGGGACTCCCGGTGCGAGCACTGGCGCGCCCTCCTGCACGTGGCCAGCGGCGGTGCCAAGGTGGGAGCGCTGGCGCTGGCAGTCGCGGAAGGGCGGGTCCTGCTACCGGCGCTGCACGCGCTGGCCTGGGGGCTGGTCATATCACTGCAGAAGCCGGCAGGCGGCGTAAGGACCGTCGTTGTGCAGAACACCTTTTTGAACTTGCTTCAAAAGGCTATTTGGCGTAGCTGGTCGGGCCAGCGGCCCAGACTGCCACCGCCCCCTTCCAGCACGGAGTGGGGCCCCAGGCGGCGCCGAGACAGTGGTGCACCTCGCAGTCGCCACCCTGGAGGCATACCTGGACTGGGGTTTGCTCAGCCTGGACATGCCCAACGCCTTCACCGAGCTGAACCGCGACTTCTCGGCCCGGGAGGCCGGCCAGGTGGCGCCAGCTCCCAGAGGATCCTTGGATCTATCGGATAGAACCGGTTCTGCTATAGCTGCATGGATAGAACCGGCATCGCATGGATCATGCTTAAATCGTTGCAATGTAAATAAATCATAAAAAGCGAAATGAAACGATAAACATTCTGATGGTGATGATGGGACCGAGCCACACATTAGCATGATGATAGCGATAACGATCGTCCGCCCGCTTCGCACGCGCACGCAAAGAGAGAGGAAGAGGAGGAGGAGGAGGATGATGGGGTGAGGAGGAAGAGGGAGGGGGGGGAGAAACAGATCGAGGAAAGAACTTCACAGAATCCCCCCCATCTCCTAGATTGTCTCGACGTACTCGCCCCCGCCGCTGCTGATCGTCTCGGGTTCGCTGTCTTCGGAGCTGGTGATATACTCGATGTCATCGGGGGGCCTCGGGGGTGTTCTTAAGCCGAACGCAGACAATCGATCGGTTTGTTGATCGATCGATTGATCGTCGTTCAGTTCAAGGATCGGGTCTCGGGGGCCCTCAGGGGCCGCTAAGTCCGCGGCCGCCACCACCACAGGTTAGCCCGAGGGAAACATTCGATGGCAACCCATCCGACGGGGGGGGCCCACACCCAAACGCGAAAACCCCACTGAAAATTGATAAATGCTCGCTGCATCTCGGGCCAACGAAGGAAGAGGAGGAGAAAGAAGAGGAGGAGGAGGAGGAGGAGGTAGAGGAGGAGGAGGAGGAAGAGGGAGGAGGAGGAGGAGGAGGAGGAGGAGGAGGAGGAATGGGGAGAAAGAGGAGGAAGAGGGGGAGGAGGAGAGGGATGGGGGGCGTGGGAGGGAGGGCGGGAGGGAGGACGCGGAAGCGGGAGAAGGAGAGGGTGAGGGAGGGAGAGGGGGGTGGAAGGGGAAGGGGAGGGAGGGGGAAGGGGAGGGGAAGAAGGAGTGGAGAGGCAGGCGGGACCTCGGCAATCCGAGCATCCCTTCGGTCACCCAATGCTGCGTGTCGTCGGTGTCGTCGTCGCCGCCGTCGCCGTCGCCGTCGAGGTCGTCGCCGCCGTCGTGGTCGTCGACGTCGTCGTCGTCGTCACCCTCGCCGCCGCCGCCGTCGCGATCGCCATCGTCGTCGCCGTCGCCGTCGCCGCTGCCGCCGTGGTCGCCGTCGTCGTCGTCATAGTCGTGGTCACTGCCGCCGCCCTCGTCGTCGTCAGAGTCTGGAACAGAGGAGAGGACCGAGAAAAGGGGACAGATGGGGGGGGGGACAGGGCAGGGAAGGGGGCAAGAATGAGGGTAGAGGACCCCCCGGCGACGGGGAAGGGGACGAGCGGGGTGAGGGGCGCGGACAGGGATATGGGGATAGCAGGATGGAGAGGAGGAGGAGGAGGAGGAGGAGGAGGAGGAGGAGGAATAATGTTCGATGTGACCTTTGTGCGCTGTATCGGGGCTCTCGTGCACGGTCTTTTCGGATTGCCTAGGGTGTTTCATGGCCCCGTTTCGTTTTCGTTGTGGTGTCTTAGGGCTCAAGATTTTGAGTTGATTGCAGGTGGAGTTGGTGTTGGTCCTAGGTGGTATTCGAATGTATGCTACGATGTCAGGGTCGGGCCAGATTGGCCCAGGCGCCCCAAAAATGAGCTGGCAAAGCCAAACCAAACGACCCACGCTCGGCCCAAACGCCCCAGAACAAATGCACATGTTCAATCATGTCGCTCAAACTTCAGGGTCACCAGTTCTCTCGATAATCTAAAGCATTGCAGTGTAAGCTCGCATGGCCCAGAGCCCGATATGCCAAACAAACCCTGTCGAGGTACCCCCCCCTGCAATAACGGTCCGTCCAGAAATAGATAGGCCAAGGCACGCTCTCCCGACTACGTGCGTGCAAGATGCGGCATGGCGAACATATTGCAGAACTCAACCTAAAGATTCATGGAAGCAACCGTCGACAATGACCGAATGTTTCATGTTCCCCCGCGAGCTGCATCATGCCTCATGCGCAACCAACGTCGGCAAGTGTTGAATCCTCACCAGGCCATCAGATTGTGAGACTTTTGCCAACTTGCTTAGCCGTGCATCCGCAAACATCGGTCAACCCATGAGTGTTTTCAGGTGTGCCTTCCCCCTCGTCCTTCCCTGATTTCCTTAATCCTCGCATGTCCTCCATATCTCCTAGCTCTCCCTCCCATGATTCCCCTGCTGTCCAATGATATGCAATCTTTGCTGCCCCCTCCGATGTCCTCGCGCATACGTGCAATGGTTGCCCGCAGCACGATAAGTTGCCTGCACGATGAAACGCTCGACGCGTCGAGAAAACACGTGGTTGGCGAATTACTGCAAGGGAGGCGCCATTTCTTTCATGGGGGTGGTGCAGTTGTTGTCACGTACGTCTGGTGTCTCCCTTGCTAGTGACCGCTCTGCGATAAGACAAGCTGGCAAACGGCCTCGCAAAATTCAGCTGGGTACGCCTGTGACGACGCCAATTTGTCATTGGCACCTGTCACCCAGTGGCCGCGGTTCCAGCCCTTTCCCTTCTTAGAAGTGTTGCGGTTCGTAGTTGGGGCCAACACTACGGCTTTGCGTCTACTCTTGCGAACGCGAGCCATGGAAACCGAACGTGAAACTTTCAAAAAAGACTCAGCCACTTTAACGTCGTGGCTCGTCCACAGACTGAGTGGCTTGAGCGAGTTCTGCCCGAACCCACCTAGAAACACCGAAACCTTCTTCAGTGAAAGCGTACCAATCACAAACTTGACGCAGGGAACTTTGTCGAGCATGGTGGCTGCAGGCTGTTCGAGCAGCACGTGGGCGCCGAACAAAACCGCCAGCGTCATCAGCCAGCACCTGAGATGCAACCCGAATGGGAATAATGGAAAATGTAACTGACGAGAACGAAGATAAGGGACCTAAGCAGCATGGATGGTAGCTGGAGCTCCCTCGCCCTTTCCACCTTCATCCCCTCATGATCCTTACATTCACATTTTCCTCTCGTCCTCCCCTTTCATCTTACTTCCTCCTCCGCCACCGTGCCGACCTTCCCTGCGCCCTCGCCTTCCTCCTTACATGCGCCCCTCCTCGTCCTCCACCTCGTCTTGCCCTTCCCCACCCTCCTAAGCATCTTGCTTCTCATCCCTTCCCTTCTGCGCTCCGCTGCCACCGACTCGGGCGCTAAGCGCGGCGCACTACCAGTGCGCACATATTAGCTTCCTTCACG